CACCAAGCTCTCAATTTCTTTAAGTACAGACAAAGCAAGATTTACCACTAGCAAGAAATAATTTTCTTTATACTATATACAAACACCGTCATTTATTCTTTCTCTTTTTTTTTCAATTCCCTACAAGTGGCTCTCATAATTTGTTTTAAACAGTGCACCTTTCTCCTTTTTCAATAATTCCCCTCAAAAACCCGACCATACCTCAACTCAGCTTTTACAAGGTCATAACAAATTCAAGTGCTCAAGAGCAGTAAAAGATTCAAATAGATAGTCAATTCAGAACAAAATGGATCAGGCTTGTAGTGTGGTTTCCAAAAAAGTAGGATTACAGGATCAAAGGGGCTATTAGGATATACAACAGTTAGCCGGGTCATAAACATATAATTAGCTCAATAAAGAAATGCCTATATCACTTCCTAGACTGAACACGACTATTATTATGCTTTGTAAACATAGGGCAAGTTCTAAACATCAACTAACATGCACAGAATATGAACAAATACCTTACTCACGCATTGGCACATAACTCACTTAGGATCGGAACTATCCTGACTCTCTAGTCAAATCAGTTAGGCAGAATCACAATCAAATAATTTAAGGCACTTATCTATGAATCAAGAACTGAGCCTAGGTGTCACAACTAAGGCACTTACTACTCTCAAGACAAAATAAAGTCAAGAAAATTCATGTCCATTTAATATCATAGCACAAGACTTCCTTATTTCTATCAAAAGAAAAACTAACTACACTCAGTTCAAGCAAAACCCTTGAAAAAGAATCGTGGCACAAAGAAAAACTAAAGGGGAATTGTTACACTACCTAAGAGAAACAAAATATTTTTTCTTTGACTTTGATCCCTCAAGAAGACAATCGAGGAAATCTATCATTGGAAAAAATCAATTTTTTTTCAATCAAAGGAAACGAAACAAACACACATTTATATATTTACATCTCTCACCCCACACTTTAAATTGTGGCATGTCCCCATGACACACAAATAAAAAGCAAGAGATTAAGGAAACTCCCCTTATTCATCTAATCGGGGTTGGAATCGAAGTCGGGATCTCTTTTGCATGCCCGACCCAGTGCACTCATCCATGCTGAGAGCTTCTTTTCGACCTTTTTTTGGGTATACCCTACACTTATCAGTTTTACTCTCTCCAAATCGCTCCTTTAGGGCCCCCCTTAATCCTTCCATTTTGAAGATCGCCCTTTCCTTCCCTACTCTGAGCATGAGCTGCCTTTTCTGAATGTTAAGAATTGCTCTTCCAGTAGCCAAGAAGGTTCTTCCTAAAATCAGAGAAACCGGGTTCTCCTCCATGTTCACCATAATGAAGTTCACATGGAACACAAATTTATCCACCCGAACTAGCACATCTTTCACTATTCCTTCAGGTATGATTGTGGTTTGATCCACTAGCTACAAGGACACAGGTATCGACTTGATTTCTCCAATCTCTCCCTCTAATTTTCTGAAAATAGACAAAGGCATAATATTAATAGAAGTACTTGAATCACACAAAGATTTTTCAAACTTAGTACTTCCTAAAGAGCATGATATAGTAAAACTCCATGGATCTCCACACTTTTGAGGGAGATTGTTTTGCAGAATGACATTATAATGCTCTATCAGCTTGACAGCCAATATCTCTTCCACTTTTCGTTTTTGGACAATATTTACTTAAAAAATTTAGCATAAGCTGGCATCTGTGATAACACCTCTGTGAAAGGTATATTCACATGCACATGTTTGAGCACTTCTAGAAAGCCCCTGAATTGTTTGTCCAGCTTCTCTCTTCTCTGCTTCTGCGGGAAAGGTAGAGCAGACATATATTTACTTTCTTCAGTCTGCTCATTTATTGCATTCTCATCTTTCTTCTTCTTTTGAGCTCTAGTATTTCCCTTCTTCTTCAGACCATCATCCACCATCCCTGCACCTTCTTGAATGTTGTCCTTTGTCTGCTCCTCCACAATCTCCACATATCTTCAATCAGCTCATTCTTTTGTTTTGCTCTGAGATCCTCCGATACGTGCCCACTACTCAAAGATACTGCATTTACATGTTTCTTTTGGATTTCTTTCAGTATCAGCAAGGAGAGTTTCTGGAACCCTCTCAGACAATAGATTAGCTAGTTGTCCCACCTGTATTTCCAAGTTTCGAATGGTCATGCCCTGTTCTGTGATAGCTACGCCATGAGTTTTAAACCTCTCATCTGGCTTAATAATAAAGACCTTCATCAGATCTTCCATGCTAGACTGATAAGACTGTGGAGAATGATATTGTTGCCTCTGTTGATTTTGAAAACCTGGAGCTCCCTGTCCCTGGGATCTGGAGTTACTTTGTTGCCCTGCATCTGCACTACCACCTGGTGAACTGCAAGAAAAACCTGGGTGCCTCTGCCCCATGAAAAATCAAGTGGGATGGGGGTTTAAGCCAGGCACTTAAATAAGGAACACAAATATTTATGGATACAAGCCCAAATAGATGCCGGAGAAATTTTGGAACCTAGCAGCGGTACTGGCACTCCCATTGGATCTGGTGGGGTTCTAAATTTTTACAACAATAGCTTCACCCCGCTTCTGGTAGTATACTACATTCCTATAACAAAGATAGAGATAGTGAAAATTCAGAAATATGGTCGTTGTCTGTAGCTTACCTTTTACTTTTCCTTCTCGCTTTGCTTTTGTGCATTAGATACAAAAAACTTATAATCCTGCTTTTCAAGGTTTTCCTAAGACCACAGTTAGAAATGATGTTTTTAAATTTCAAACTGAATATCTTCAGTATATTCATTGTGTATTTTTTCACTTAGATTGTAAAGTGTCTATCACATGTGATATAGATCGTAGCCCTAATGGTTGTGATTATTTAACTGTTATATGTCATTGGGTTGAGCATCACTAGAACATGCAAAAACGTATTATTGGTTATAAATTTGTTGATTCAAAATACACTGGATCATATATTGCAACAATAGTTCTACAAATAGTAGATTTTTATGGGCTCATTGATAAAGTTTTAACTATCACGTTAGATAATGCTTCTGCTAACACAACTGCAACAAATAGCTTAAAAGTTAGTCTTTGTCCAATTAATCCAGCAATTTTCCATGTTAAATGTGCAGACTATATTTTTAACTTGGTTGTTAAAGACGGTATTAATTTATTTTTTGAGGCTTGTAGTAAAGTACAACATGCTTGCGGCTATATTTTTCGTGCTAATAAAGCGAGTAGACTTCGTGAGTTTGCACAACAATATGCTAGTGCTAACCTTCCATATAGAAAAATTGCAAAAGATGTTTGTACTAGGTAGAATTCTACTTATAAAATGCTTAAAGCTGCTTATGATTATCGGATGCCTATACAAAAGGTATTATTAAAGCTTACTAAACTTTTAGAAAAATTTTATTATGCTACAAAATAATTTTCTGGTATATATTATCCTACAGTTACACAAATATTATGGTATATTTGTGGAATTTCTTATGTATTTGGTAAGTATAAAACAAATTTAACTTATGCATCGGCCAATAATGAATTGATTGCCAAATTTAAAAAGTATTTTTTTTCTATTCCCCAAGTTTATTTAATTTCTATTATACTTAACCCATCTTTAAAATTAAGAGGTGCAAAGGGACTTGTTCGTAATATTTATGAGAATTTAGGAATTCAAGAAAATGAACAACTATTTCTCGAAAACTGCCAAGCTAACATTTATTCTTATGATAGATCAATGTTTGATAGTTATAAATCTATGGCAACAATAGGTGGTAAAAATGCTCCTACTATTTCTAAGGCTAGAGTAGAAGTTCTATGGGAAAGTATGGAAGATATAACGGGTTTTGATTCCTCTATTGATGATGAATTTGATTCTTATCTTGATTAGGGATTGGAATGAACAAACAACTTTTGGCATGGTAGAGGGAACGTGGCAAGGCATTTCCAACACTTTCAATAATGGCCCGAGATATACTAGCTATTCAGGCATCATCAGTAGCATCAGAGAGTACTTTTAGCGCGGCAAGATTTCAAATTGGAGATCATATACCTTCATTAGCGGAGGACAGCCTAGAGATTTCCGTCTTATTCAGAGATTGGATTAATTCAGTAAGAAGAAATCTTGATTTTGAAAATTAACCACTAGGGAAGAAGAAGAATGGAATGAGATATTTAGTACTAGGAGCGATGACGTCATGGAACATAAATCAACATTGTCAATTCCATAACAATGTCCGAGAGAAATTACAGATAAGTTGCAACGAAGCTATATAGGAGCTTACAAATATTAGTATGACAATTTGTAATTGGCTACTAAGAGGCCTAGTTCAAACAGAACCTTTCCTAGAAGGTGGTTGCGTAGATTAAGTGCTCTTCATATGTGAAATTTGAAAGTTCTATTAATAAAATAAAATATTTTATCCTTGAATTTTTTTTTTTTGAATTGTCTTAACACTCTTACTTAGTTACTTTATAGATTGAAATTATATTTAATAAATTATAAGTCTATTATAATTACTAAAATATTTTGTTACAATTCTTTTATTTTAATATTTTATAATTCTTTACTTAGTTTCTAACTTTCTTTATAATTTATTAAGTTTTAAGTTTATTAAATAAGTAAAAAAAACTAGCCGATGCAAATTTTAAAAACTTAGTCAGTGTCAACTTGTAAAAAATAACCATTGCTATTTATAAAAAAAATTAGCCGTTGCCAAATTTAATGTTTAAATAATTAATTTTTTAAAAAAGGACCACTTAGGGCAACGAACTGTCCCGTTCCGTCCCATCTCGTTTGTTAGTGGGACGGGATGGGCCTATCGGGTCGGCCTGTTTATCCTGTCCCGTTAAGGTCCGTCCCGCCATCGTCCCGGTTAAATGTCGTTTCGTCCTGTCCCGTTGGACAGCCTTAGTGGTGAATATAGACCGGTGAATGTGAAGGAAAAAAAAAAAAGTCAATTTACAATTTACATGATTGTACACGTACGTGAGAGGCTGAGGCCTGAGAGCCACCAAATTCTACTATCAAAAGATAAGTTGTAAGAAATCTGTCAAAGTCTTCCGTATATTTCTGACACCAACCTCTTAGGGAAGAAAAATTAGAACAAGAAAATGGAAACCATAGGAGTACTAATGGCATGTTCAATGTCATCATACTTAGAACAAGAACTTGACAAGCGATTCAACCTCTTACGTTACTGGAACTTCTCCGACAAGAAAGAATTCATCAACAACTACTCGCATTTAATACGCGCTGTTGTGGGTCACGCTGGTGCTGGTGCTGGTGCTGAACTTATCGAGGCGTTGCCTAAGCTAGAAATTGTGTCCAGTTTCAGTGTTGGATTGGATAAGATTGATTTGAACAAGTGTAAAGAGAAGGGTATTAGAGTGACAAATACACCTCATGTGTTAACTGATGATGTTGCTGACCTTGCTATTGGATTAATGTTGGCTGTGCTTAGGAGGATTTGCGAGTGTGATCGCTATGTTAAGAAGAGATTGTGGAAAGCTGGTGACTTCAAGTTGACTTCTAAGGTTTGTATTCCTCTCGAATCTTGGAGTATTCATGTTTGTTTTAGAACACAATATAGCATAGTTTCCCTTATGGGTGCCAATTTGAGCCCAAAACCATTTGACTCGTTGAACGCCCCCAAAGTTGAATTGGTCATTGACCCGCCCATTTGTTGAACTCGGCCCATCTTGGCCCAAACCATTTCAGCACATCTAAAGTTGGGCTGATTTTTAGTCCAAATTGATCCATGAGTAACCTTACTAAAATTTCTTTAAAATAATTTTTTTTTTGAAATATTATATATGACCATAAAAAAAAAAAAGTCTTATTTGATAATTAAACAATTCATAAGAAAATAATACACATTAATTAAAGTTTGACCCAAATTTTAGCTCATCTCAGCCAAAGTAACTTTTGGGCGGGTCAATAGCGCGCCCATTAATTGACTCAGCCTATTTTAACCCGCTAAAAAAATGCACAACTTGCCCATTTGACACCCCTAGTTTCCCGTTTGTAGATTTGGCCATATCATTAAGTGTAATATAACTCAACCGTTGGCGTCTTTAGCATAGTGACAATTAAGCAGCAATTTCCAGCTTATTCAGTTTCTCTTCTGAATGAAGTGTCAAAGGCATTGTATCAACCTGTTATGTGCGACATGGGCTTTGTTTTAAGTTATAAGTTGTAATTTTGGAGTTTCTGTTTCTGGATGTTGTGAAAACTATCGTACATCATCTTTGTATTAATGTAAACGCGTGGCGCTTCAAAAGGTAATTTTTGGGACATATGGGAATTTTTCTCTTTTCTGTTACGGCACCAATTTGCATAACCACCTGAGCAGAGAGATGTACACTAACATTTACCTGATTCATCGCTCTCTCTTTTGCAGTTTAGTGGCAAAACAGTTGGTATAATAGGATTAGGGAGGATTGGCTTAGCAATTGCAAAGAGAGCAGAAGCTTTTGGTTGTCTAATCAGTTACTACGCGAGAGCAGAAAAACCAGATACAAATTACAAGTATTATCCAACTGTAGTCCAGTTGGCTACTAACTGTGAGATCCTAGTCGTGGCATGTGCACTAACTCCTGAGAGTCGTTACATTGTCAACCACGAAGTAATTGATGCATTAGGTGCAAAGGGAATTCTTATCAATATCGGAAGGGGTCCTCATGTTGACGAAAAAGAACTAGTATCTGCTCTTCTTGATGGTCGATTAGGAGGCACTGGCCTTGACGTGTTTGAGAATGAACCTGAAGTACCTGAGCAGTTATTTGGGCTTGAGAATGTAGTCCTGTTGCCTCATGTAGCCAGTGGCATAAAGGAAATGCGCAAGGAAATGGCTGACATTGTTATTGGAAACTTAGAAGCTCACTTTCAGAACAAACCATTGTTAACTCCAGTGGCTTAGGAATGTAACTAACATTTGTTTGTCATGGTTGTCTGGAGGTTAGCTACATGTTGATGTAAATTTTGTTTCCCTATATGTAAAGGGGTCTTGACGTAATTGGTAAAGTTGTTGCCATGTGACGTAGAGGTCCTGCAATAGACTTGATCGGTCCTCCAATGACTTGTTTAATTTGTACAAAGCTTTTATATTCGGCAACAGTCCAAATAGGCTCTACGAAACTGAATTTTTGAATAACATGATAATACTCATACACAGCTTGTCCATATGTTGATTGAACTCTAGAATTTCCATTTGGAAAAAACGCACCTTAAAATAGAGATTGCCTCTGTGAAGCTTTCTTCCCCAGTATTGCCTCCCAAACCAGAGGCAAGAATGGCCCTTTCTTGTCCAAATATTCCCTAACAGCTTTCTCATCAAGGATAAAACCCTTGTGCCTCACCGCTTTAATCATGCTTTGGGCGTCTTCCAGACTCTTCTCTTTGCAATACCCATCGACCAAACCTACAAAGGTCGTCATGTTGGGGGACTGTCCAGCCTCTAACATCTCCAAGCAAAACTCGAGGGCATCCTCTAATCTCTTGCCCTGACAGAGCCCCCGGATTAAGCTACTGTAACTAAAAGCATTAGGAATAATGCCATTGCCTTGCATTTTCCGGAAGATCCTCACAGCATCATCATATTTGTGGGCTTTACAAAAGCCTTCTACCACAGCAGTGTAGATAACAACTTCAGGTATGGCACCCTTTTCACGCATCCGACCAAATAGCTTCATGGCTTCCTGGACCAAGCCGTCCTTGCAAAGCCCATCAAGCATAGCTACAGCATTGGGTATTAGGCCAGTTTCTTTCATTTTCTTGAATATTTCATCTGAATCTTCTGGTGGAGCTGGAGGTGACTCGGAAGCAGGAGTGTCACTCCGTGCAGGATTGGTGTTTGGATTTTCATCTTTATGATCAAATCCAAGCTGAAACCTTTTCAGAAAATCTTGGTTATCCAGGGACTTGATTTGATTTTCATTATTCTGACCAGGTCTTCTAAAAGTTGTAGAATGGGTGGGGTTGCTGCTGCTGGGGCGTTGTCTTTAGGATGGATTGAGGGGCCTTCTGGAATCAGCTCTTAAGGGCCTATTCGGTATAGGCTCAGGAGGAGGAGGGTAGTTGGACTGAGTGGATTCATCAGGGTATTTGTTAGAGCTGCTAAACGAGGGTAATGTTGTTGAGGAAAGTGTCTCGTTTACTTTCACCTTAGGAGAGCAGAGACTGCTGTAATATTTCCAATAAATGTTAATACCCTTCTTTCTCAATAATGTTGTTCTCATAATGTTTATGTACTCGTTCAAAATAGCACCAGGTGTTACTTAGTTATTCAAGGCTTCATACTGCACAATCAGAGGCGAACCCAGGATGTTAAGGTCGAGGGTGTACTTTTGGATTCAACTAAAATCTGTTTCGTATAAAGGGTGCACACTACTAATATATCACTATTTTCTAAGGATATAATATATACATGGAATTTTTGCCGAACTTTACGGGTGCCGGGGACCCCCTCTCGTTATAGCATAGGTCCCCTCTGTGCACAATCAAAGACATTAATTATGAACTTTCTTTTACTCTACACCTAAAAAGAGCAGCAGAAGAGTATATGGCGATGGTAAAAGCGTCGGAGATCAACGGCCAAGACAGAAACAATGAGCAATACACACAATCAATAAGCTAGTGCCAATAGCAGATAAGTTCACATCCAACAAAAACATGAATATGGATATACCAATATAATCTCTTGAAACTGTTAGAAACAAAAATAATCACTTATGATTCCACTGCTTACTTTACAAGTGATTTGTATCCACTTAATAAATCAATCAATCGATCATACCTCAATTAGCTACACGAATCCTGTGGATCCATTCTACTCTATTTTGTACTTATTTTATTCCAATACTAAATGCTTTGTCTTCTAAGATCTCATGCTCATTTTAATGAATGTAGTGATTTCTACAGCACCATTTGTTTCAAATTCATTAGCTTATCTTCTCACTAAACCCGACGCCAACTATTTAGCACTACTCCGTTCTTATCATCTGCTTCTCATAAATTTCTACCATCTGCTTGTTCATATGCTAGACATGATACAATTTGTTACACCGCACTCACTAATATTTACTCTCTCACTCCCAATTTGTTTGGCAACTTTTGCTTATCAAGAGTCAAATTGACTAATTCTCTGAGCTAAATCCGGACAAGATTAATTTATTTTTTTCAAAAGATTCAGACTCAAATATTAGTTTGCAATTCTCCTCGTATAAAAAATATATGTTTCAAAATAATGGACTAAGTTCACCTCAAAAGGCCAAATGTGCCTAACAAATCCCTATGGAGAAATACTACTGGAAATTTATTGCTCCTAGTTGCTAAAGATATCAAGTTCTCAAACATACACTGGATACATGAGGCACTTTAAATAATTAGAAATCTCCAATTCCTTATTGGATATAGAAAGATTTGGTAAAATGATTTGAAACTCGTTTTTCTTCCAACAATAAAAAATTTTCTTTATGAGTTGCCCAAAAAAAAATTATTTCATCTTTGTGACTCATGAGAAAGAGGAATACAGAAAGAACAAAAGAAAGAAGAAAGAAGTGAGCATTAAGTTACAGGCTTAATGCTGAATTTCGCCACAGAAAGAGATTACAAGGAGTTCGCCGTTTGGAGGAACTGAAGCAGCAGTAGGAAATGTTTGCGTATAATCCAAAACTGAAATACTATGTAAATAGTGTTGGATTTGGGCCAATATGCGTGAGCCTGTGCACAAATAGCCCCTTTTGTTATGTTTTATGGGGGATTTGCATCTATACTCGGCTTTTGGGTCACGTTTTAACTTGTGTCCGCTTTGCAAAAGAAATTGCAAGCATACTCACTTTTTCGCGTAACTTCAGCATACAGAGCTCAAGTAGCAAAGGCAATCACGCAAAACTTCAGCATTCTAGTAGACGGGCCTGAAGTAGCAATGGCAGTGCTGAAGTTTTTTTGTCCTAGATAAGATGCTGAAATTATTTAGTTCATTTGTAAAAACTTAAGCACTAAAATAGCTGAAGTTTTTTTGTCCTGTATTCATTAGTTTTGTCATAAAGTTTTTTCAAAAACTTCAGCAGAAGATGCTGAAGTTATTTAGTTCATTTGTAAAAACTTCAGCACTAAATAAGCTGAAGTTTTTTTGTCTTGGGTAAGCTTTTTCAAAAACTTCGGCAGAAGATGCTGAAGTTATTTAGTTCATTTGTAAAAACTTCAGCACTAAATAAGCTGAAGTTTTTTTGTCTTGGGTAAGCTTTTTCAAAAACTTCGGCAGAAGATGCTGAAGTTATTTAGTTCATTTGTAAAAACTTCAGCACTAAATAAGCTGAAGTTTTTTTGTCTTGGGTAAGCTTTTTCAAAAACTTCGGCAGAAGATGCTGAAGTTATTTAGTTCATTTGTAAAAACTTCAGCACTATATAAGCTGAAGTAATATTTTGCAGGAAGAGTGAAATATAAATGGCAAAGCTTAAGTTCTATCTGTAAAAATCGAATCAGCACCGAAACATTTCACAAATTTCAAGTCACTTGGCGAAAAATTCCAACAATTTCATCATTTTCTCCTTCCTAACATCAGCAAATTTAGTGATCTGTTGAGGGGAGAGAATCTCTGTCATACAAATTTTCTTCATAAAAATCCAGTACTTGCTATAGTCCAAAGTGGAAAACAATGTGTCTTCGTAAATTTGGTACTCTAAGGGCCAAATTCTGGCCTAGCAGCAAACTTGACATCATTGGTCTTAAAAATTTCTTTTGTTATAGCGCCATTCGACACTGCAGCACATTAAGAACTTTACCGTTCAGACAGATACAAAGGCAAGAGAACTGTGATCCTCCTCCTCAGTCCTCTCCTTAAATAAAAAAACTTATATTATTCTCCCGATTTGTTAGTATTACTATTCTACAGAATTAATCATAGTGTCTTTCAGTTGTTAATAGAAGAAGAAGAAGAAGAAGAAGAAGAAGAAGAAGAAGAAGAAGAAAACGAAGGAGGAGGAGACAGGGGCTGAAGTTGTTTAAAAACTGGGTACAAGTTAAAAAAAAAATTAAAAATGAGTATAGGTTAAATGGGGGCGACCAAATAGGGTGCCCCGTGCAATTTTTAAGTTTTATATCTATTTAAAAAATATTACAAATATTTTTAATGTCGTACTTATTCTTAATAGTTTTATTCTGCTTTTATATAGTTTTTTGGTACTGTTCTTTTATCTATATTTTCATTATTATAGTGCTTATACTTTCCTGAGTCGAAGGTCTATTGAAAACAACATATCTATCTTTACAAGATAAGGGTAAGATGTGCGTATACACTACCCTTCCCAGATCTTACGTGTAGGATAATATTGAGTATATTGTTATTGTTGTTAAAAATATACAAATATAATCCATGCGCTACACAACAAATAAAGATGGAAAATGACGCTACCATTTTGGACAATTTTAGACAAAGTTTGGTCATATATATTATTTTAATAGTTCGACTACAACTTTAGACCGTTTCGGACAACTTTAGTCATAAATTATAAATTGTATCTTTATAGTTGCTCTTTATGCTGGAACTTTTTCGGTAGTTCCAGCATTATAAATTGTTTCGGTATAATGTTGGAACTTTTTCTGGTTTTAAAGGGTATTTTTGTTCGGATTTTATTTTCATATAAAAAATGACTAAATTTTAAAATTTTCATAAAGTACTATCTTTTTGTGGTAATTAGCTATCTATAGATATCGTTTGTTATATTACGGATTGTAGATACATTTTCTGTTGTTATAAGTTGTATTAGATGTATTTAAGCTACTGTATTCATGAATACAATAGCAAAAATAGGCGTGAATCAGGGAAGTCCAACTAATCAGTTGTTGTATTCGAGTGTATTCGACTGTATTCATAGCGTGAAATATGGGATTACAGCTGGATAAATTATTGTATTCGACTGTATTCACGGCGTGAAACAGGGAATTACACTGTTTTTAAACGGAAAGTGAATCAATTAACATAATAGACTCCTAATATTACTCAACAAACTCAATTACAACACACAACTTTTGTATTTCCAGTTATAAAAAAGATTCTCAACCGAAAAATATCCCAAAAACATAGAAATCTTCGGAGAAATTATATAATACATCTGAATACATAAATTATATTAATTAAAAAAATATATCAATACATTAATGGCATATAGCGAGACAGTGAATACAATGAAATACATAAAATACAACGGGATACATTGAAATACAATGAAAAAAAGGCAGTGAATACAATGAAATACATGGAATACAACGAGATACATTGAACTACAATGAAAAAAAAATGAATACAATGAAATACATAAAAATACAGTATGATACATTGAAAATACATTGAAATATATCAACAGAAAATCAAGTTGCTCAGTCCCAAACTCCGTCGTCTTTGTTCAAGAACAAACCCTAATTTCCGGCGAATCCGCCGTCGAGCAACAAAATAATCCACCTAGTATCCGGTCTACTATATCGTCTTCCACTTCGATTAAGACCTTGTCATCGATGACCATTGACAATTTCGTGCTTATTGTTTTCTTGATCTCACGTCGAGCAAATGGGTATTCAATCGGCTTGAATTGTATGGTATCGTCCACTGAACTGACGAGTTCATGAGGAACTGATGCAACTGAGAATCGCCTGTTTTCAAGGCCGTGTTCTTCTTCGTGCTCAACAGTTAGATCACTCGAATTGAAATTTTGAGATTGAGCATCATGTTTTCAGCGAATGGAGAAGAGAATGACATGTATCAAAGTAGAGAGAGAAAGAAAATAGTGTAACTGAATAGCGTATTTAGTGGCTTAACGGTAGGAAATAACTAAAATTAGATATTTTCCTATAAATATTAAAAGGTATCTATAGAATATAATTTTTTAAAATGGTATTTCTTTAAAATAAATAAGTTAATCTTTGCTATAAGAGATAAAAATTCTTTTTTTTTTCTTTCCAAACTTAAAGGATGCTTTTTGGATTGAGATTTTTTCTTTCCTATACCATATATGAAACCTTATTACCAAAAATGTGCATAGTTTCTAATTTACCCGCCTTGTCCATATTTTTTCTACAGTTATTATCAATCATTAAATACTAATTAATAGTAGCTGAATCTTCCTAATTTGTCGAGCTAAAATTCAGGAATAGAATCTTCTAAAAAGATTTGGCGTAAATCAGATCAAATCATATCACGGAAATCCTTTATCTTCAATTTATAATCAAATTTTGTTCTTC